CACAGACGTGTATGCGAAGAGACTAAATCAGTTTTCTCTCCCGATAAGTACGTGTTTCCTCGGTCGAAAAAGTATTCGTTATTTGTGATAAAAAGTTCACACCTGACACAGTAAATAAATCACGAGTTACATTTTCTTGTTCGGTTTTCTTCTTTTTTTTTTATTCGGGTTTAGGCTAAAATTTCTACCACACGGCACAACGTACGACATTTTCTTCTTAGACTAAATCCCCAGAAGATTTTTAGCTAATACAGCTCATCTCTTGAAGAGAATACATTTCGGCGATTAGCCAGACCAGGAGTTCCCGTAACACACCTAGATTTCGACAGAACAGTCAATTTGACTCTACAACTATTATTACTATCTGAAAATGCAATTTTCTTGGATTTGGTTCTGTGGTAACCTAAAAGTGTGTTCATATTTAAAAAAAAAAGGCCATAGAATGTTAATTACTTTAAAGAGCGTGCAACACTATCTTTCATTTTCTATTGGTCTATTTTTCTGAGATGAAGTATTGAAACCATTTATACTACTTACATCGTTCGGACTATTGTCTTCATCTTTATTGCTATATTCACGACGTTCTTGCCACTGGACGCTCCGGCCTTCTTTAGGATCTGTCTATACTTCTGACATGAATTATTGTAACTATTTATACTACTTACATCGTTCAGACTGCTGTCTTCATCTTTGTTGCCATATTCCCGACATTTCATCCGTTGTACGTTTCGGCCTTCTTCAGGCGATATTCGTTACAATTTAGAAGCGAACCCTTTATTATAACACAAACTCTCTGGATCAAGTCACTTTTTGGATGACTCAACCAACGCTTTTATACACTGGGCCATGTTGTGAGTTCAATCCCTGTCTACAGCAGAGGGAACAAAAACTTGGAGTTACTAAAGGGAATTAACTGAAACTGAGATATCCAAAGAGGCATAGCATGTGGAATTAAATAATGGACTAAAAACCAAAGTTTATCATCTGAAGAAGGTCGGAGCGTACCATGGCCGAAACGTCGTTAATATGGCAATAAAAATGAGAACAACTGTCCGAACGATCTAAATAGTATAAATACTTCTATTTTTCTGTCTAGACTTTTCAAAAACTAAGCTATAAAAAATTTCTCAGACATTCAGGCCGGTAAATGTTGTTAATACTGTTTATTATAAACAGAGCATTTACTTAAACATTTGTATCTATAAAAAGAACGTATATACATAAAAATGTCTTAAAATAAATGTTGGACTTGTCCATTTCATAATGTGTGACGTCATTTGTTTACATTTGGATACGCATCGAGCAGGTATGAATGTACGAGAGAAAATCATGGAAAACAGTAGTTAAAAAACAGTAAAATCGACCTTGCTACCGAAACGCTCCTCTGTGGCTCAATCGGTAAAGCACGTCAGGCTATATGACGGTTCCGTATAGGATACAAGCTCTTATATCCATTTATAGTTTTGCCTGAAATTTGACATTGCGACAGTGAGATCGATTTCACGCACACTCTCACACCTACAAAACTTGAATCTGTAGAATGGTTTCGCGGGGTCTTCTAGGAGAATGACAGCTTTGAATTCAAAAAACTGGAAAAACCGGAGTGTGATCCATTCCCACGGATTTTATCGTTATTTCCATGTTACTTTTTCTGACGGGTCGCATTTATTAAACCCACCATTTCAGAAATCCACAGATAAAATCAGCCAGATGACTCATCCGAAATTCTTTCGTCTTCCATTGGTAAGGAGGAAGTGCTCTTCGGACAGCTTCTTTGTGGAATAGACTCCCAAGAGGATATTTCCCTGAACAATGCAATATTAACCTCTTCAAGTCCAAGATCAACTGTTATCTTTCCTAATTATCTTTGACGAACTTTCCTCTATGGTACCTAAACTTTATGAATATAAGCGCAATTCTAGATTGCTCGCAAGGACGCATCGTTTTACAGTTGAAATGGCGAGATAAAGCGTAAGTTCTATGTTGATAGTTTCTTCTCTAACACTTCTTATTTGTGGAACTCTCTTCCGACTTGTTGCTTTCCAGTCAACTTTGATCTTCATAAGATTAAATGCAATGTCAATCGTTATCTTCTGTCTTTTTAATTTCTGTTCTTTTATGGTTTTCGTTCATTAAAATGTTTTCTTTATATTCTTTCACATTCAGTAACCCCCTGTATATTTGTGACTCTCTTGATTTGCTTGACGTGAAATGATTAAAACAAAAAGAAGATAAATGTACCAAAAAAAAAAAAAAAAAGCCGAAAGAAATCCCAGAAACGGTGATGTCGAAAATGTTTTCTTAAAAGAAGAAATATTCTTGTTGTTTTGTTGAATTTCGTGTGTTTTTTTTAAATATAACTGTCTTTGTTCCATGGGAATTGTAGAAAATAAAATAAAAATTCTAATAAAATATGACGTAGATTCTGTTTTGACGTCTACTGAACGAAACTGCTCTCTATTACTCGCCTGATAGAAGGATTTCTGATTTTCCTCAATGTGGCTGATGCTAACCTCCATGACACTTTACGCCTTCCCGTGCTAACTTTTTCCACTGACATAAAATGGAAAGATTATATCAATTTTTTCTCTCCCAAATCTATTTTACCCATTTACAAGTCCACTATACAAAACATATTGATGCCACATCTAGTCTGGTTCTTCTGTTATATATTGAGAGATTCTTGATAATCTGATTGGTCCTGATCTTCGCGTCAGTGCCTTTTTCTTCCGTCGAAACTTAGCTTCCCTGTGCCTTTTCTATAAATATTTTCATGGTAACTGTTGCGATGAACTTTTCTCTATGGTACCTAGACTTTATGAATATACGCGTAGTACTAAATTGGTGGCAAGGTCTCATCATTTTATAGTTGAAATGGCGAGATACATCCCTGGTCAAAATCTTAAGAGCAGATACAAAAGGGTTAAAAAAATATAAAATACTGTTACTTTAATCAAAATATATTTGCGAAACATTTATATTTAATTAGTAAAAATGTAATTTATCAACAAACAAGTGAACATTTTAAGCTGTCTTCCTGATTTCTCTTCTTTTATTGTCCTTTCTCCTCATTAAAGTCTGCTCATTTTCTTTCACTTCTATTAACAACTTGTGGCTTTGTGGCATTGTCACCATCTCCAGTCTTCCTGAAAATCTGTTCTTTTATTGGCCTTTCTCCTCATTAAAGTCTACTCATTCTCTATCACTCCTACTAACAACTTATGCCTTAGTGGCATTATTGCCATCTTCTGTCTTCCTGAATTCCGTTCTTTTATTGTCCTTTATCCTCACTAAGGTCTTCTCATTCTCTTTCACATCTATTAACAACTTGTTGCTTGGTAGCCTTATTGCTATCTTCTCCCTTCGTGAATCTTTTATTGTCCTTTCTCCTCACTAAGGTCTTCTCACTCTCTTCCACTTCCAGTAATCCCTTTCGTCTCAGGGGAATTATTGCCTTGATTGGGATAAAATCATTATAAAAGAAATTAAATGGGAATAAAAAGCTTTGATCCTTGTTGTCATATAACATTGAAACACTGGCTCTCGTCTGATCACTGAAGTTAAGGAACGCTGAACCTGGCCAGTGTGTACATGGGTGACCGTTCTGAAAGAGCAGGTACCGTTAGCTTGGATGTGCGGGTGGTCTAATGGATAAAGTCTCCGAATGAGAAATCGGAGAGCCGAGTTCGAGTTCTAGTCGGCTTTGTTATATTCACTTACGCGCAAATACCCTTGGGAAATGAATGAATTCAACTATTCTCCTCCCAGCTATGGGTTAAATCGAAAACTTGATTCGGAAAATTATCATCTCCAAGAAATTCGTACAATTCAAAAATATTTTTAGCTTTAAATAGCCTCAAAAAGGGTGATAAACCGCAAAAAAATCAAATCTATTTATCAATCGACACAGAAAAGTTTTTTTAAAAATACTTGCCGGATTAAAAGAATCTCGGATTACAGGACTTGTAGCTATAGGACCGTCGAACGGAGTTCAAATTTTCGCCTAATATACTGCGATCACTTTCACACAAATGCCCTTCGAGATGTCATGAATTTATACGTCCAATTATGAGTTAAATGACAGGGTTGACTGGGCTCTGTAGTCATTAATGGCAAATAGTCAAAAAGAAGGAACACTCTGAATTCGAAATCGCAGAGAATATTGTGGAAAACCACTATCTTCCAAGAAGTCTTGATAATTCACCGATAATAAAGAAAAAGATTCTGTGAAGCGACAGGGAATTGAAAAATCCGTAGAAAAGATTGATAGTAATGGTTAATGTTTATATTAATTATAAGAACTAGTCCTCGGAGAATATAAATCATTAATTTTTATATCGGTTAAACAGGACCCCCAGTTACTGAAAATCTGCTCTGAATCATGAAATAAAATATGCACTAAAACTAAGACATTACTTTTTTAATACTTTTTAAAACCTTAAAAACAAATTATTTTCCTGGCATCAATATTGGGAAAATTGAGCATCTTTTTATGGTTAAAAACATATTGATTTGAAAATTCTTGAAAAACCCAGATAATTGTCAGATTTTAATGAAACTTTCAGAACTTATTCAGAAACGATTGGAATTATTTTAGAAATTATTGGTAAAAATACTTTTTTTTATTTACATCTCTAACAGTTCCCTTGTTTGATTTTATTATATTTTTAAGTCGTAAAAAACAAATTAGTCGATCAATCAATATAGGAAGCTGTGGAGTAGCACAATCGTCCACATCGTGAAATGACAGGGAATTGAAAAAACCGTAGAATGGATTGATAGAAACAAGAATCAAGCGTTTTGATTAAATGCTTTTCGGGTTTAAAGGGGAACTACAAAAATTGTTCCCGTAGACTTGCTTCATGGAAACATGAATTGGCGGAATTCTTGTCAGATTTCAAGAAAGTCGTGGTACAAGACATGTTCAAGAGAGAAATAAATATAAAATGAGAATAAAATATTTTGATCAAATGCTGGTTTAAATAAACGGGCTTGTGTACATGGTTGGCAGGATAGATAGATAGATAGATAGATAGATAGATAGATAGATAGATAGATAGATAGATATGGACAGATATGAGATAGATAGATAGATAGATAGATAGATAGATAGATAGATATGGACAGAATGAGACAGATAGATAGATAGATAGATAGATAGATAGATAGATAGATAGATAGATAGATAGATAGATAGATATGGACAGAATGAGACAGACAGATAGATAGATAGATATGGACACAATGAGATAGATAGATAGATAGATAGATAGATAGATAGATAGATAGATAGATAGATAGATAGATATGGACAGAATGAGACAGACAGATAGATAGATAGATAGATATGGACACAATGAGATAGATAGATAGATAGATAGATAGATAGATAGATAGATGATAGATAGATAGATGGACAGAATGGGACAAAGAGATAGATAGATAGATAGATAGATAGATAGATAGATGGATAGATAGATAGATAGAATATGGACAGAATGAGATAGATAGATAGATGATAGATAGATGGATAGATAGATAGATAGATAGATATGGACAGAATGAGACAGATAGATAGATAGATAGATAGATAGATAGATAGATAGATAGATAGATAGATATGGACAGAATGAGACAGACAGATAGATAGATAGATAGATAGATAGATAGATAGATAGATAGATATGGACAGAATGAGATAGATAGATAGATAGATAGATAGATAGATAGATAGATAGATAGATAGATAGATGGCAGAAAAATAAAATAGATTAGGATAGGATATATGTCGAATGACAAAATTTATTAAGAGCTACAAAGTACAAGAAAATGTGGAGAGCTATGATCACCCACATCCACGACAAATACAAGCAGAGAGAGGAGGAGGAAGATAAGCTTTGTGTAAATGGTTGGAAGGAACAAGGGTTAGGAGAGATAGCAAAAAGACAAAATTTATGAAGACTTATAGTGGTTATGAAATTGTGGAGAGTTGTAATCGCCAACGTCCTGAAGGGACACGGCAAATACAAGGAGGAGGAGGAGGAGAATGAATCAGAGGAGCTTTGTTTAAATGGTTGGCAGAAACAGAGATTAGGAGAGATGGCGAAAACTCTGAATTTACTAAGAACTACAAAGGAGAGGAAATTGTGGAGAGCTATGATCGTCCACATCCTGAGGAGACACATCAAATACAAAAAGAGGAGGAGGAATACCAGCTTATGTAAATAATTGTCAGAATAAGAATTAGATGTAGCAAAAAGACTACATTTACTAAGAGCTACAGAGGAGAGGAACTTGTGGAGAGCTATGATCGCCCACGTCCTAAAGGGACACGTCAAATGTGGAAGGGGAAGAGGAGGAGTTTTGCGTAAATGGGTGGCAGAATAGGGATTAGGAGAGACAGTGAAAAGACAAAATCTACTAAGATCTACAAAGAAGAGGAAATTGTGGAGAGCTATGATCGCCTACGATCTGCAGGGACACGGTACATTGAAGAAGTACTCTAGAATTTGAACGTGTACCATTGATAGAGAGAAACACAAATAGCAAAATGTAAATAAAATTGTTTAAAAAAATATCAAATAATAGTATCATAACATGAAACATTGAATACGAATAAAAATGCTCGGATCCAATATTGTCGACTGAAAGGAGGATGTCGGATTATCGGTGGTCGCATTTGTATCATGTCTCCTGCCTCCTTTTGTAAACGATTCCCTATTGTTTACTCAATGCAGTTTCGATATTGGAAATGAAAATCGATAACGCGAAACGTTCCTCTGGCAAAATGCGATGAAACAAGATCCTTCGATATTGTTGTGCTGGTTTTCTTAATGGAGATTTTGCTACAAGGGAAAGGAAGTGGGGGGAAAAAAGGAGAGAAGAGCGGGAACAGGGCAGATTAAATATTATATGTCCGGTTTTATTGCAAAAATATGTAATTTGATGGATCGTAAGCTTGCAGGTTAATGAAAGTGAAGAAATAATGGCGGCATCGACAATGCGTGGACACATGCGCAGGCGTTGTGATATGTCAATATGGGCGGGAAAGAAATACGGTATCGAAAAACAGAAAACGATGAATGTGGACGTAAATCTGTGTGAATTCGAGTGTTTCAGTGTGTGCAAAATTTGTATAAATCAGTCGGCTTTTGTATGAGTCAAAGCAAAGAAAAAATTAACGTTTTCTTGCTGCGAAATGTATTAAAGTATATATAAGCATACGTACACGTAGATAGATAGATAGATAGATAGATAGATAGATAGATAGATAGATAGATAGATAGATAGATATGAACTAATTGAGATAGATCGGTAGATAGATATGAACTATTTTAGATAGATAGATAGATAGATAGATAGATATGAACTAATTGAGATAGAACGGTAGATAGATATGAACTAATTTAAATAGATAGATAGATAGATAGATAGATAGATAGATAGATAGATATGAACTAATTGAGATAGATCGATAGATAGATATGAACTAATTTAGATAGATAGATAGATAGATAGATAGATAGATAGATAGATAGATAGATAGATAGATTACTTGCTTCTGTGTCGCTACGCTGTAAGTTTTTGTTCACGGAGTTCTGTTTGTAATAATTACGGTCAAACCTCTCATCAACGGACCAATGCGGTTGGTGGTGGGGTGGTTCGATCCGTTAAAGCCAATTGTCCTTAAAAGGGAAGGGATTATTTTTAAGTTATAAAACCACTATAGTAACTACCAGTAGTTATGATCATAATTTAAATACTATAAACATGTATATATGGCCTAAATAGATATATATTGTACTGTATATATACAACATACAGTATATATATAATCATATATGCATATATATATATATATATATATATATATATATATATATATATATATATATATATATATATATATTGTTAAATATAACTGACAAAATTGTCCAACATTTGGATACGTTTTTTATTATGTTGTTCCTTGTTGAATAATTCAAAAATACATATAAGTAGGCGCCTGAGGGGGTCGTCAGTGATGTTATTTGACTTGGTTCATCAGGGAGTTTCGGTTCTTTCAACATCATACTCCCCATCATCAAATCGACCCAATCAGCATGCTAACCTCCAAGAAAGTGACGCATTGTGCCTTCTCAGTAGACACGAAGTGGAAAGACTATATTGAATCCATTGCTAGTTTAGCTGCTAAGAAAGTCGATTCATTGTGTCATGCGAGACAGATTCTGGAGAGAAAAAAGTTATCTTACATATCAATAAGTCTACCATTCATCCATCCTTAGAATATTTTTGCTACATGTCGTTCGGTGCCCCAACTATTTACCTTGAGCTCCTTGATAAAATCTAAAAGAGAATCAGCAATATTATTTGTCATGATCTGGCTGCTCGGTGTCAATCACTTTCCCACCGCCGTAAGGTTGCCTCTCTGTGTCTTTTCTATAAATACTTTCATGGCAATTGTTTGAATGAGCTCTTCGCTATGGTAACTAGACTTGTTGAATTTAAGCTCAATACTAGACTAGCGTCGAGATGGCTAGATGTCACCCTAAGTTCTATACTGACAGTTTTTTTTTCTCGCACTTCTCGCTTGTGGAACTCCCTTCCGGTTGCATACTTTCCAACTAACTTTAATCTTCAAAAATTTGAATGCAATGTCAATCGATATCTAGTCCTCCTAATTACTCTTTCCACTCATGTTTCTGTTCCCAATTCAACCACACGTTGTAATCTCTTCCATCTTAGCGGTTGTCCGGCCTTGCTTGGGGTGATACTGATTTAAAGATAGTTTGCCAAAAAGAGTTGAAAGACTAAAAGGGCGATAATTTGAGGGGTCAAAGAGTTCTCCAGAGTTACTAAAAAACGGGAACTATGGAGGAGGACTTTCAACAAACAGCAACGCATTTGTTGTAAAGAAATCAGCGATGCTAAACACTTGAAATAATTTATTGATCAGTTACAATCATTTCAGCAGAGAGGGTAAGGAAATTGGACATATCATTGGCTAAGCTAGGGGAAGTTCCACCAAACACGGCAAGTTGCTACATAACGAAAACAAAACCTCGACTCATATATTTGAATAGCCTCGTCAGACTTTGGTAGGTCATCCATGGCATCAACCTGTCAGCTGTATACAACCGCTTTAAAAATGCTTTGAGTGAGGGGAAATCTGTGAGTCTTGGAGAAAGCCATCCTTATTTAAACCTTGTGAATTGGCGCTACATAATCACAAAGAACTGTTCCAGATAACAGAAACCACATCATTTGAGGATTTCAAGCGCAGTTACAGCTAAAATGAATATCACATATAACCCAAAGAGAAAAAAAATGACATTCCACACTACTTCAAGCAAAAGGTTAGGAAGGAAACCACTCGCTTCAATAATGGAATGAACAATAACAGTCCCTTGACTTGAGAGACCTTTTACCTGGAAAATCTTTTAAGATAAAGATTTTATAAATTTCGATCCACAGTGCTGCTCGTTCAATGAATGTCGAATATTTCCTTATAAGGAAATGATCAATATCACCATATTCACGAAAATGTCCCCCTATATTGATAAATAACGGAGAGCAAACCTACTATATTTCGTAATAAAGCATAGCAATTAATGGACAGTAAAGAAACGGGTTAAATGAAGACCCTGTGTCCTGAAGAGACATGGTATTTTTTAAAGTCATTTTTAAAAAAATTCTCGATTTTTTCTGCATATATTAATTAAATGTTTATTTTAGTCAATTCCTTGATCCACCCCAAAGTCAGACTGGTGGCAGAAATAATTCTTCGAAAAGCAGGAAATTTGGATCAACGCATTCTGTCTTCCTCGCAAAAATCTCTGACTGTAGAGACTTTTAAGACATCCCGTTTATGACCGTATATTTTGTGCGAGCTTGTATGTATATTTACTGATTATCGACAAACAGAACACACCAGTCGATGTCCTGCCTTCTGATATGCAACAAAAACTAAAAAAAATCCCTTTTGTTAAATAGTTTCGGGCAATATGGGACTCTGATATTTGCAACGCCTCTGCTAATAATGCGTATAAATATACTTATTCCTTTGGCTTTTATGGTTGTAGGCCAAGGAAGGTATTGCTGCCCCAGCTAGACTTAAATTTTTGTCCCCTCGATTATGAAACAGCTTCTTTCATACCAAATCAATCATACTCAATTTTTTCCCGCCTCCAGGCAGTTTGAAACTTAACTCTTAGCCATACCAACATCCAGAATCTTATCAACGTGCGAAGATGTTAACTGAACTAGGATGTAATTCTTTATTTTCATTGGCTGCTTCGTTTATTCAGGGCTTGTTTTTGCTGGAATAAACTAACAAGCCGCCGGCATAAATAGCCGTATGATAAATTATAAAGGGAGGTAACTGATATCTGACTAATAGTTTGTTTTTGTCTTTTTTTTATAGTTATTACGTCGATATAATAGAGCTTCGCTGATCGAAAATTGTATTCAGAAAAGCAGAGTAGAGCGCAGAAAATTCGATTATAAAAGAAATGTATATCCCGTGTAGAACGTGGGGGATCATGGCTCTCCACTATTTCCTGTATCTTGTTCCTCTAAGCAACGTTAGGTACGTTACCATTCACCCTTATCCCTACTGTCATCCTTTCGCCCAAATTCATTAAACTGTTCGCCGTTTTCCTCGGTGAACTTTCCCTTATTAAATTTTGATAATATTAGGCGTTTCCTTATAAGGAAACATTCAGTATTTAGTGACAGAGCTGCCAGGACGACTTTCGGTTGAAATTTATAAAATATTTCTATTGAAACAATTTTTTCAGGAAAATAAATCTCTCAAGACAACTGACTGTTATCGCTCTTTCCAGATTTCCTTCCTAACCTTTTGTTTGAAGACATGTGGAATATCAGAGGTATTCAAACGATAGAACATGGTTGAATTTTTAAGGAATGTCCTCCGGTGGCTTTTGGCAAAATATTTCTCTATGTCTACTTGGGAAGCGTCGTCAGTAAAGATGGTGGGGGGAGGGTCAGATGAAGACATCAAGCGCCGAATCAAGAAAGACCGACATTTGCGGCCAATCTGGAGATCAACAACCCTCTCAATTTACAACAAGATCCGCATTTTCAACACCAACATCATAGTCGGTCCTACTTTACGACTCAGAAACCTGGCAGGTAACCAAGACCACCCCCCCAAACTTCAGACATTTACCAACGGATGTCTCAGGAACATCCTCATTATCAGGTGGCCAGAAGTCGTCTCCGATGACTAACTATGGGACAGGACCAAACAAGCCTCTATCGAGATTGACATCAAGAAACGGAAATGGGGATGGATCGGCCACACACACTGTAAGCCCGTTTCTAGTGTCGCCAAGTAAGCCCTTGACTGGAATCCACAAGGGAAGGTAAAAGTGGGTCGACGAAAACAAACTTGGCGCAGAAGCGTTGACGGATAGTTGAAGGCAGTCGTTACAACATGGTCCGAGCTGAAGAACCGTTGGAGAGGTGTGATTGCGTCCCTATGTTCTCCAAGGAATCAAGAGGCATAATAAATAGGATCAGTTGAATTTACTCTTCTAAACATGTCTTATAATCAAGTCTAATGTGCTCAGTTTCAAATGAGAAAAGGTTAACTGAAATAACGACATTAATCAATCACAATCAATGAACAACTGTGGAGTAATCTCCAATAAGAAATTTCACAAACCACTTTTGATGTGTTCGATCATTCACAGAACCTTCTCCACAAACTCTACAAATCATTCTCTCTTTATCTATTTTTATCTCTGTGTCGGAAGATATCAAGGTTGACCAAAGAAAAGTTAAAACACGCAATCAGAATCGGGCAAAGGATCTAGAAGATTCTACTATCGATCGATCGTATAGGAAACGAATTCAGCGAATATACAAAAATAGAAAGAGGCGTACGGCAAGGATGCGTCTTCTCACCAGACCTGTTCAACCGATACAGCAAGGCAATCTTGAGAGAATTGGAAATCCTACCGGGATTTATCACTGGCAGCAACAATTTTAAGATACGCAGATGACACAGCGAGGAGGCACGATGGAGTAATGGATAGCGGCTTGGATTGAGGAATTGGAGAGCCGAGTTCGAATTCCAGTCGAATCCATTACATTCACTTACGTGTTAATACCCTTGGGAAAGGTGTGAATCCTGTTCTTCTCCCTCCAGCTATGGGTAAACAGCAGGACAAACTGGGTTAATAGCCTTGGATGGCAACTGGTCTAGCAGAAGGAAAACTCTGAATTCAAAACCTGTGGAGGGTCGTTTGGGGACCCTGTGGCACGTAGTGGACCAGGTCTCTGTATTTGGCCTTTCAAAAAGTGTGGATGGTCCTGCACGAAACCTTCGCCACTATAATCAAATCTCATGTGCTATACATGCGGGTTGGGGACCGCTTGTGAATTCCAAAATTCCCAACCCACCTCGTATGAATGCCGTTACAAGAACAAGAAAAAGAGATGACACAGCACTGATAGCAGACCCGGAAAAGAAATTACAAAATCTCCTACAGAAAGTAGCGACGGATACTGAGAAGGGACTAAGCATAAACTACAAGACAGGATGCAT